TTTCCCTTTCCCCTTCCCCTTCCCCTTCCCCTTCCCCTTCCCCTTCCTCTTTCCCTCTCCTCTCCCCTCTTTCTCTCCTAGGAAAGGGTAATTCCCACAAAACATCCTTCAGAAAGGTTTTAGCATGAAAATTTCCATCTGTGAGGGAAGCTGGATGACTCTCATGATACTTCACCTAAACATTCCACTTTATTCAACAGATATTTTGTACATTTCAGCATTTTCCCTCAAATGAATCCTAAAGTAATTGAAAGAAAAATGGATTCTGACTCTGAAAAGAATTTTTATGAGGATGAAGGTAATCTTCAGAATACAGCTTTTTAGGTTTATCATTTAATAAATTGAACATATGTCTTCTGAAAGTAGATTATTTTAGCTACTTGCGCAGGCATATTTTACATAAGGTGGGAATGCACAATCTTGTAACCTATCTTTTATCTTCCAAATTGAAATAACACTTCTCTCTCAAGAACCTTGAAAACATGATGATTTATTTACATTATGTGTCTTTAAGAAAGAATTGTCAAGGTCTTGAGAGAAAATACCTTTTCCATATATAGCTGCATATATATATATATATGCACATATAAAAATAAGTTACTTAAACTCAAAGGCTAAGCTGCCATTAAAGCAATTATTTTGGTAATATACAAAATGAAACATTTTATAATTGATTTGGAGCATCAGTTTTGTTTCACAACTCTTCTAACTGCTGTAAAAATTTTATAGTAAAAAAAAATCCCACATAGTTGATTTGATGATAGACATCTGATCATTTTCAAATATATATTGAAGTACATGGAGTTTTGAATTTCAACCTTGCCATGATCACCATATCCCTTCCTTATAGTGCCTTCAAGTACGTATGTACAATAACATTATGACAGGTTGTGCCTCTCTTGTTCGTAGCATCAGAATTCATTGTAGCACAGGGCAAGATACACCTTCACAGCGGAGGAAAGAAATATTCTCAGGGAGTTTTTCCATTACCAAGTGCAATCTCACAGATTCATCTGCCATTTTGTATATCCTTCTCAGAGGGGGTGAACATTTGCTGTAAACAGACTCTGGTGTGAATTACTGCCTTAGCTTTGGAAATGTTCAGCTGGGACTGGAATTTGTTCTGGTGGAGGCATGGATGTAGAGTGTCCTCAGGGTGGTATTGCCAGATACCATCCAGTCCACAGACCAACCCAGAACCCCCAAGTAATTTAGTGAAGTGCACATATATCTGCACAGTTTGTCAGACCAATAGGAAAAGAATGTCTTTTAATAAGTTACTCTTTCAAGAAAGTCATTGGACAATGATTTTAATGTATTGGCAACCTATGTGCTGCAGTAATGCTGCTATGTTTCCTGAAAGTAGCAGGATGTGTAATCAAATTAACAAAAACACCAATATTTATTTTATTCTTTTTCCAGTAGTTCAGAAGCAAGCCTGGAAAGTGTTAGAGAATTGCTCATATTTCTCTTTCAAGAATGTTTTGTGAGGTCTTGGAGTGCAATCTGCATCAGATAACACTGATCCTTAGGGATTACTTGTACATTTTACACGTATGAGAAAGCTATTAACATCTCCATGACACAGCAAAGTATTAAGCCTCAAGAATGTTTCATGTGAAAAATAACAAAATCATTGTGCGTTTAAATGTAACTTTTCATCAAGCACTATTTAAAAACAAGCTGTGGTATTTAAAATTGGAAAACATTAAGTTCTATGTCAGTCTATTTAACAGCCATCTCCAAAAACACAGCAATAATAGGAATAAAATATCTGCAGACTTAGAAGCATTCAGTTACATACATAGTGCAGTGAAACACAATGATTTGACCTTGTACTCATAATTCTTTTTGTAGATTTTAACTCAGAAAAACTGCTTTGGAGTGAAATGCAAGAATAATTGTTAGCATTTTGAAAAAGATCAAAAAGTTTATTTTCAGGTTGAATTCCCTTAATAACATGAATTGATAATAGAAATTCTAACTGAATACTTGAGAAATTCAAAACAAGTAATTATTAAAAATTGTAATAAGTTCTTTAGCTTGGAAATGTGTTCTCCTCTAAGTATTAAACTCTGTATGATTGATTAATTTTATTAGAAAATCTAATATATGAAGGTTCTTTGTATATAGGTATTAGACAGTACATTACTAATATCTCATCTGTATGAACTGATTTAAGATCACTTTGCATTTATTTCAATATTTTATTTAGTAAATGTTGTATTTCCTTTATCCCAGTGCCTTTCTATCATGCAGTAATAAATAGATTCTACAATAAATTGAGATAAAGTACATAAAAAAATTACAGAAAAGAATGCATCACCTGAATATATGCATCAAATTCATCAGTTCCTTTTACTGTGTTACATTTCCTTTTTTTTTCCCCAATTTGTACAGACTGTTATGTATAAGTAGAATGGACTTAGACTCGGTGAATAATTTCCAAGCTTTTGAGCATTTTTCAAGAAAAAACTTGTTAATTTCTTTTAGTAAAACCTTGCTTTGTTCAGTCAGAAAGTAAATCCAGTCTTGCAGGGCTATGCATGGATTTGAAGTACTTCTGCTTAGGATCACCAGACACCATCAGCAGGTCTGCATGAAATCTTTTCATCATGAACTGAGCATTACAAAGTATCCTGTGTGAGCAAAAGTCAGTTTTCATTAGCTGTGTGATTATGGTGAATGACAGCAACAGAAATATTAGTTTGGCCTCAATGCATTTTAAATGCAGTTTTAGAAGTCTATTTCCAGAACAATGTTATTGAATTAATTGGGAAACAACTTTTTGAAAGTTTGCAGGCACTGAACACTTACATTTGTCAATTAAAATAAGGAAAGTCTTAACGCTTTTAGTACACAAAACCTTTGAAATACAATTCTAAAATTACAGCAATCTGAAAGAATTACTACGGCATGGAATGCGTTTGGTTGCAGAATCTCATAGGTAGCAAATCTTAACATAGAATTAACCCATGACATGTCGGGCATGCAGTCCTTCAGCTGATGTTTGCCCTCTTATCCTTTTGCAGCCTATTGGTGCTTTGAACCCAAAGAGAGCAGTGTTCTATGCGGAACGTTATGAGACATGGGAAGATGATCAGACTCCACCTTACCATTACAACACCCACTATTCTACATCTACTTCTACACTGGCTTGGCTTGTTCGTATTGTAAGTATTTCTAGATCCTGATTTTTATTAATAATTTACTAACAGCATCTCCTCTGTCAGTTACCTCTGTATCAAAATCTCAGTGCTCTTCACTAATTTAAAAGTCTCACAAATTATCTGTGCATACTATGTGTACTCATCAGTACAGGTTTTTGTTACCCAGGCAGTCTGAAATGTATTTGATTTTGATTGCATAAAGTCAGGTAAACCATGTGATGAAAAAAATCTATCTAAAACTAAATCCATCTGAAAGGACCCTAATAATACAGAAAACTGATATTACTCACATATTCATTTGTTACTTTCACCTACAGATAGGTATACACAATATTAAAAAAAACCTTTCACAAAATCCACATCTGACTGTGTCAGAGAGGGGAATTAAAGAACAAGTTCTATATTAAAATAATATAGAGTAATATTTATGCAAATCGTGTATACTTCTTGGTAGATTAATAACTTAAAATGTTCTGAAATGTAAAAATATAAGCTCCAGCTTCAAACTGTTCTTTCAGTCCTAGAAAACTCATCCCTCATCCTTATATCCTTTTCTTAAAATCAGACCTAGAGAAAGGGGCCAAACTGCAAAGATAGAATGAATCTCTATTTGGTTTATGTGTTAACAGGACGAATTACATAAAATGGATTGTTGATGAGAGACTTAAGGTTTCGTCAAGAAACCTGAATTCATGAAGAATTGAGTCACTGTGCAATTACTGAACTTAAACTACACTCTGACAATAAAAATCTGTCACATAAGATGCATTGTAAGCATATTTCACACACAACCAGACAAAACAGAGCCGCACAGAGGTAGAGATCTGTGTTATCACTCATCTCAGGTTCTGTAGACATGCCCTGTTCTTCTGCTCAGAAGGGAAGAATTCATGTGTCTGTGAGTTCAGGACATACTCCTTAAACCCTTGGGAAATAAAGTGTTGATTACACTCCTCTAAAGGGTGATCTCTGGACTCCTTTTTATGTTGCTAAATTATTCATGTACTGTGAATACATTTTATGTGCTTCCTTGTTCAGTTAAAGTTTATTTAAAAGAGTGGTTTTAATTGCATGTTTATCTATTAATTTTGGCTACTATTCAACTAAAGATCTTCTTTTGCTAGTCAGCAAATTCCTATGTCTGAAAGTCTGCTTGCTAGTTGAATGTACAGCACACCAAGGAATATTCGTTTCCTGTATTAGGTTAATGCTGTGTCATTTTTACTTCTGTTGTTTATATAGTGCCATAGGTGTTCTCACCCTCTTTCTTTCCTGTACAAAAAGAGTGAGAGAACAAGGTCTCTACCTTGTTGACCTCGCAATATGCATCTGAGAAATTATGTTTGTTAAAACTAACAGAGTATTTGAAGAAGAGAAAGTAGAAGTCAAAAGGAAAAGTAGTGTTTTCCAGGGCAGAGATTACTGGTGGCAAGGTAGAGAACAACTTAGGGAGAATTTAAATAATAGCAAACCTAGATATCCATTTGAGGACTATTAAAACACAAATGATTAGAACAAGCAATCCCTACTGGGAGGAGACAATAGAAGTGAAAGAAAGACAAGCCTGGGGAAACTTTAAAGCTCGGTAAAAGGGAAAAAAGAAAACATGTTGAGACCTGATAGAGCTGCAAGTGGAAAACCAAAATAAAGATTTGAAAATAAGTGTGTAAAGTGACAGTGAAAGATCATTGATTACAAAGTCATAGTGATCCTTAGAGAGAGATTTTTGGCAACAAAGTAGTAAATAAAAAATCTTAAGGGAGACTATCATGCCAGTGATGTTGATAGATAAAGCTAAGTGAGATTTCTGGCACGTAATAAGGATTTCTTCCTTGTGAATTTTGAAGTCATCTCTTGATACGCGTTTATGAAGACTGTAAAAATGATTTACAAAAAACAAATTGCTGCCTACTCCAGGAAAAGGCAATGAGAAGTACAGAGATTCAGACAGAAAAAACACTTTCCGTATTTCAGAAGATTAGAGATGATTGAAGGAAAAAGCTGTACCGTAAAAAAGTTTTTGTAAGAAAGGAAGAACAAAATGATAGTGAAAGAGAAATGGAAAATGAACTCACAGAAGAACATTGAGTAAATAATGGAATAAAAATAAAAGGAAAGGAAAAAAAAAGAGAAATGTGAAGAAAACAAACAAGCAAACAAACAAACAAACAAAAAAACAATGACAAAAGCTGCATGAAAGTTTATGAATGAGCCTAGGTAGGAGCAGAACAATGTAGAGTAATTTTAAACTAGGGGGAAGAAAATACATGCCTAGACCTTTGTATTGGAGGAAACAGTAGTTGCAGTAAGAAAGGTAGTTTCAGCCACTCTGGAGTACATCTATATAGAATTTTGTAATTGCCACGGAATCTTAAAAAAAAAAAAAGATTGAATTTTGTTTCTTGGCTTTGACAGATGCAATTTGATTCCTGTCAATTCTTTTGAAAACACTACAATATCACATTTCTGAGTCAAATCTTCTCCATACTGTCTTATATTTCCCTCTGTTTCTGTCCTTTATTTAATCTGTCAGGCTACTTTTATAAAATGCGATTTATTCTCAGAGACTCAGTTCTCTCCAGTTTTATTATTTTGATATCATCAATCTTTGCCACCCATTTGCCATTAATAAGCTTTTCACTTTAGTACAGTTTTCTCTCAAACTCTTCTGTGTACTAAGGGTTTCCATAAAGCATCCATCTTTTAAAGTGACCAATTTAATTACATTTTCAAAAAAATGACAGTGGATTAACACATCTAATGAAATATGAAGGTGCTTTTAGGACAGTAAATGTTCGTCCTCACCAGGCCTCTCCAGGTTAGTTACAGTCCTACCTGAGGGTTGTATGGATGACTTTGAAGCTCTCCCAACCAAGATAATGCCAAGATCATGCACACACTATTTTTCTTGCAGCTGTGCATCATTCACACATGTGAACTGAAATTACAATTCTTCATTAACTTGTACATATCCATTGTGCACTGAGGTATAGTAATCTCTATAGAATTCTGAAATGTCATGAAAGAATCCTGTATTTAGGTTATAAGAAACTGAGCCTAGGAATGCTTGATGCTATAATTGCAAATGAGACCCAGATCTCAAAAAATAGCTTTATCTCTAAATTCACCTATTTGTTGAAAGCAATCAACATTTTTTCTAAGTGAATTAGCAGATTATTGAACATTAAATGACTTTGTTATAGAGAGAGATACTGAATGTGAAAATCTACTGTATTGTTCAGTCAGGTTAATAAATATCATAAAAACTAACGTAAAGTGCCAGAGTTTATATAATATTGCTTTTCCCTCGTTTAATCATGGCTGAACTCTTCTACACATCTCACATTTTTAGATATAAACCCAGGAAAGTCAATAAATAAACCAGAAAGTTCTACTTATTGCTTTGAAAATCTGAGCCATTCCACAAGCTTTCTCCAGCAAACAGAGTAGAATGTACTCTGGAAAGGGATGCACTGTTCTGCTGATATAGTCCTATTTTGCACAAATGAAGTGAACTACTCATGGTTTATGAATCTGTTACGTTACCACCTGGTTCACGAGTTACTTATTTTCATTTGTTTTCCATCTGGACCAGTGAATATTTAAGTTGCAGATGGCAAAATAGTTAAAACAAAGCATCCTATTTCAAAATGCCATATACTGTAGTGACATGAACGTGTGCCTGAAAAGTAGACAGAAAACAGAAAAGTAGGCAGAAGAAGGAGCTGTGTCTCGAATCATGTGGAAAGTGAATACCAGTGCTGTTTTTATGGTTTTTCAGATGAAATAAACAAGAGTTACAGTGCAACTTGTTGTTCTCAGTAGTTTCTGCTGAAGAAACTATGTTTGCATGAATTACAGAATCACAGAATCATAGATGGCCATGAGGCCCATGGCCTCAAGGATCATGAATCTCTAACCCCCCTGCCACATGCAGAGCCACCAACCTCTCCATTTAATACTAGACCAGGCTGCCCAGGGCCCCATCCAACCTGGCCTCGAACACCTCCAGGGATAGGGCATAAATTGTTTACATCTTCATCAAATGACTGATATTAAAAAGCATGATTACAAACAGATCAAGAATTTTGCAGAAGAATGTTGGTTTTCAGCTTCTGTTACAGCTACTAAGTACTTGCATAAGTTAGAAGAAATTCTGTGAGTCAGGTATGACTTGGCCCAAATCAAAGATGGGGAAGATTTTAAATCTTCTTGTAAATAGTTTGAAATGAACTCAAGTCTCCTATTCTGTAGACCTGAGCAAGGCATTCACAGGTATCTGAGATAAAAGGTGTACATCACTATGACAGAACTCCAAATACCCTCTTTTTCTACTTTCACAAATGGCTGAAAAGACACTTTTGTTTGACATATCTTGGAATGACACAAACTTTCCTTCTCTCTCCTCTACTCCTCCCATAAATGATTCTAGTGGGACTTTGTGATGTTAAAGGGGAGATAAAGGAAAAAAGTGCCAGTGAGTCGAAAATTCCTTGTTCCCACAGTTCAAGCTTGTGCACATTGTGATCAAGTGCCCCATAAATTTCTCTTTGGCAGCAAACAAGGCGTGAATTTTATTCAGAATATTAGCAATGAGAGAGATGGGGTTATAATGAAAACATTGTGCAGCTTTATACCTTTCACAGCAACAAAACCTTTACATGAGATGACAGTAATCGGTATCGTAGAGTAACACTATTTAAATGAATATATTGAATGAGTTATGAATTGTATTTATATGATATAAGCACTTGACTTTCCAGAGGAAGAAAAAATACTTTCAAATTATTTGAGGGGTTAGAGATAAAGCTAGTGAAAGCTTTGAATTTCTGTTAAGGATTAAAAATCCAAAAAGATAGTCACAACAGGTCATAGTTGGATAGCATAATAGGGCACCCTGTAGTGCACAACTATTAAAGGCTTAATCCTTGATTATGAATTTTATTACTTTTGTATATTTGTCTCAGATGCTTAAAATAATGTTGTCATGGAATTTTGGATTAATATTTTTACATAATTTATTGTAATTACATCATATTTCTGGTTTTTGCTTTTTTTAATCCGTCAACCACTGATTTCAGAAACCCAGTAGTGACCCGCAGGCAGTGGTATTCACAAGAAATTACACGCCTTGCAAGGAATAATAGTGATAGGCAGGGGCTGGTAGGAGACAGAATTGTTTGTGCTCACATCAACAGCATATACATTTTTTTTTTTTTGTATTGATAAGGTAGAAAAATATAGCATAATTTGCAGTGATACTGCAAATATGTACAGAAGTTTTGGGGGAGAATACATAGCTAAAATGAAAGCAATTCTAAAGTTAACATATTTTAATGTGAATGTAACGTTAAAATAATAGCAATAATAACAATAATAACAATCACAGTAGCAATAATGATAATAATAATAATAGAACTTTAGGCAAAATGAATATAATACAACTCTGTTTATATTGTTTTCAGTTTATTACCTCTGGATGTAAATAATACACTTCATTTACATTTTAAATAAAGCTTCTTATAGAAAGCAGTGAAAAATATAGATGTACAAAACCTTATTTTCTTTTCTTTTGATATTTCAATTGATTGTAATACTTTTATGCTGCTCACCATGTTGAGCTACCGTTAAATTTTAACATTCTGTTCAACTTACAAAATCTGCACTATCTGCTACAATATTCACAAGTGCAAACGAAGTTACTGTGCAGTGGGACTTAGGGTCCATCAAGAAATTGCACTGTACTGATTTTTCATTTGGTTTAATTATTTTAAATTAATTAATTAGCACATTTTCTGAGTCTCTTATTGGAAGAAATATGCTGTTGAGTGTATATTTTTTAGCATAAATATCTATTCTTTTGAATGTATCTTTTTAAAATAATTCCCAGTGTCTTAAAAGAAAAAAAGATGAAAAAAGACTCAGCATTCAATTGGAAAGCAGAAAAATGTCTTGCATTATTATAATGAAAAAGATTGCATATTTGAAGTCACACTCTGAAAATTAAGATTTTGTCCCTTGAAAAAAATACCTGTGTTCAAAAAAAACCAATTCCTTTAAGCTACTTCTGAAGTACTAGCATACCATGATGGCAATAACAGAGACATCCCATTTCTTCTCCCTTAGGTAGAGAAATTTTGAGTCTTTCTCTTTGAAAGAAAGTAGCTTGTGTCAACTATTGCATATGGTAGAAAAGATTAATTGGAAAGACATGAAAAGTAAAGAATGGAGAAAGAAATGCCTGATTTTCTATTTTCCTCATCTTGTTAGATTTTTTTTCAAAACCTGTCCATCAGTGATTTCCTTACGTATATTTAATTGTTGTTAAATGCTACTTTAACTGATTTACTTTAGTCCTCTTGAATCCTTAAACAAGATATGTATAATGGCACATAATTCCCTCCAAGTTTCTTCATTAATTGAGAAACTTTGTTCAGAAGTTCCAGAAAGGAAAACAGAGAATATATAGAATAAAATTCAAATAGTAGATGAACTTTAGTGTCAGCTGTGATCTGGTGATTAAAAATTTCCAAATGAGCACATATACAAGGAAGTAAATTTGGGTATGACTTTAAAGGAAGAAACTCAACTTTTTCAAATACCCACCAGAGCACTTCTGAGAAAAAAAAGAAATTGCTTCATTCCATGTGGACATAATGCCAAATATTAATTGAATCAGGGAGCTAATTGCATGGCTCTGGAAAACCAGGGAGTCGGTAGTGATCTCAGTAGTCAGGTCTTACTGTCAAAGTAAGGGATTGGTCCACTGTCAAGCCCTTCCCTGCCTGGGTAAGCAGTTATGTAAAAAAATGGTTCTTCAGACTATCGGAGACTTGAGCTCTTCCATAATAGATATTTCCATTTAGTAAGTATTGGCAGCACAGTTTCAGATAGAACTAGCAAAAATAAAGATTCTAGATAATTCATCTCTGAGTGCCTCTATGTACTTGTCTAAAAACCTAGTATAGAGATGAAGGATAATTTGAATAGGGAAAACATGGTAGTTGATATTTGGCTGCTCATAAACAATGGTTAAGTTAGACACTCTATAACCATAGCCTGCCTCAAAATGTCAATACAGAAAGTCTGCCCACCATGAGAATCATAGAATCATAGAATCACAAGGTTGGAAATGACCTACAAGATCATCTAGTCCAACCTCTAGTCTCCTCATCACCATTGCCACCACTAGCACTAAACCATGTCATGCAGCATGTCATCCAGACGACTCTTGAACACTGCCAGGAACAGCAACTCCATCACCTCTCTGGGCAGGCTATTCCAGTCCCTGACCACTCTCTGAGAGAAAAAGTTCTTCCTTATGTCTAATGAGAAAACATGGAATTTCCTGAGGTCTTTTAAATTGAATGAAAACAAAAGAAAAATCCAAGAAAGAGATTTTTTAAGATTTTATTTTGACATACTGTCTCATAAGGGTAAATAAAGCATGGTAATATAAATGACACAGGGAGTGTTTATGATGATTGCAGTGAGGTAGGCAACCATAGTAAACTAGAACTATTCTACATAGGTCTGTCACTGATGAATAATCAGTCTTACGGCCGAGTGAATATAAAAAATAACCTTTCCTGTCAGAACTTAAGATTGGTGTGTGCAAACTGTGTTAGCACCAATAAATGTACAGTATATTCAATATAGGTAATCATGCATAGATACAAAGATTAGGTGGCGTATTTTCCTTTAATTCTTCCCTTATGAAGTATTTTGATCTGCAAAAGTCATTTGGATTTCATTAGAAACCTGCTGCATGATTCCTTCTGCTCTCTTCTTAATCCGTCTTCATTTCATTGACTACAGGAGCCCTTTACAACATTCTTTCTAAATGCAAATGATGGCAAATTTGACCACCCAGATCGAACCTTCTCTTCAGTAGCCAGGTCTTGGAGAAACAGCCAAAGAGATACCTCAGATGTGAAGGTAAGATATACATGTTATATATATATTTTTTTTTTTCATGTTGGATAAAGAAGATTTTATGTTTCATGTCTTTATATTCAGATTCAGTTTAAGGAAAATTTAGTTTAATTAAAGTAGATGTTTAACTAAAGTAAATGTTACTAAAGATTATTGTTCAAATAGAAACAAAGAATTCTTTGAAGTTGAGTGGACAAAAGGTGTTTTGTTTTTACAGAAAAACAACCAAACTGATCTAATTTAGATCAGATAATCAGGAGATGGAGAAAAGCCCAATAAATTGTTCTTTCCTGCTGTTAACTCAATATTTGGCCCACTCCATAAAACACAGCAGGAATTGGATTTGACCTTAAAGTGTCATATCGTTATAGCTTGCCTAACTCTGGGTTTGCATTGCCTCAGGCAATTAATAAAGCATTAATGACAAGACCCATTTAAAATGTTGGCTTTTCTGTACAGCTTTAGCTTTTACTTGACTGTGCCTGAGGGTATTATGCAACAATACACATTAGATTAAAACAACTTCTACACGATATACAGAAACAGCCGGAGAGCAGGGTGATTTTACTGTTGTTATTCCTTACCTATTGTTAAATACAAAAAGCTACTGTTCACATACATGGAACCTTAACAGAAAAAAAAAATCTTATAATACTTTGAATACTTTTGTCCGTTCTTAATTCTCATTTTCTTGTAATAAGGTTGGCACAGACTGCCTTATTGCTCTCTCTAACTTTATTTTTAAGATAACACATACCTCTTCTGTTTCAAAACTGCCACTCATAGCAGGAAAAGGGCACATCACCATTATATTTTTAATTAAATTGACAAAAGAAGTAAATTTGTTAATTTAGTTGTATTCAAGATGCTCCTATTTCCATAAATATTTCAGCAGTCTCATAAGTGTACATAGACAAACCATGGTATTATTATTCAATTTCTAGTTAGAAAAAAGTAAATCGTAAATTGTATTGCTATCTTAAGATATAGAAGGAAATGCTTTTTAAAGAAAAGAAATATACCTAGCCCTCTTGAAACTCATTTCTTATTTATTTATGCTCCTCCTGAAGCTAATAATGTTTTAAATATTAGCTTTGTTGCTTTTCTGAAAAAAGAAGAATGTAATTTCAACACTTGTTCGAAGGAATTAAAGCTGCTATTTACTGTATTTAACATGCAGCAATTTATTTCAAATTAGAATGCTGATGTTTTGATTTTTCCTTTTCAATAAAGTTTGGTTTTCCTGGAATTCCACTGGAATATCTGGGAAAATGGCCTTCAAGGGGTGGGGCTGAAACAACAGATAAGAGCCTTAAACTGAGCAATAAGGGAAGACAGTTGGAAGTGACTGTAATCTTCTTCCTCGGCTTTAGTACACAGGAGGAGGGCAGTTAAATACATGAAAGCATAGCAAAAGATAAAGGAATATCTGTGGACAGACGGAGGGATAATATTCAAGTAGGATGTATAATTAATGAAAGGATTGTTCCTAAACAAGCCACCACGTGAGTTATCAGTAAAATAAGGAACTGAAATGGCTGTATGAAAACACTAGGAATCTTGTGAACCAAGTGGGGTAATTTCAGCTGCCACTGCCTGCTGTTGCAAGGATGCAGGAGTAATGAAGGAATAATGGTTGCAGTTAAAAAATGTATTTTTACTAATACCAAGTTATTTAAACCGAACGAGTATTAAAAATGCTCAAAAGGGGATGTTTGCCTTCAGTAAAGGAAGGCAAAAGGTGAACATGTACGATAGCTAAGTACTTTGATGTCATTGAATGTTAGGAGAGGAGTTGTGGAAAGGTTGGATAAAATAGTAACAATTAAAGGTTGAAGTCACACTAGGGGAAAGACTGTAAAATTATTTCTTCTAGAATACACTTGGGAGTCCGCTGTAGAGCCTCAGAGTCAGATTTAGATATATGTATATATATACATTTCTGTTATGCCATTAGAAAACAAAATACTACTTGGAGCTAAGTCATTACAGAAAATCTAATATAGGAGGCACAGATGAGGTCTGTTAGCCAATAGATGTCTTTTCCAGATAATCCCTGATCTGTATGTTCAGGGATACTTTAGGGATTAAAAATGCTGTTTAAAATATGGTTTTGTTAATTAATAATGGTACAGGGCGCTTGAGTTTAGAAATTAGTCTTCAGTTGATCTACTATGGGTTGATTTGGCTTAAGATACAAAAAGGATAAACAAAGGCAGATTTGAAAATAAGCTAAGTCATTAATGGCTGTAAGAGCAAAGAGAAAGAGTAAATAAAGGTAGAAAGGAGAAGAGATTTTTAATTGTAATTAATAGCAGCATGTGTCATATCGTCAAATTAATTGTACATTGATATAAAGTCACTATTGGAATAAGTCTGCATTACACTTCAGTAGCCTAAGTGGCATACATAAATGCAGTTCTATTTTGTGTTTGGTTTAATAAGGAAACTCAAAGATCAGCAGGATGGTAGAAAGCTTACAGCAAGACCAGAGCTACGTGCTTATAGTTATAGCAACTAAAGAATCTCATGGCATCTAAGTTCCAGCTGAAAGAGTTTACTTGGTCTTTCATTTGTTGCATAGCTCTCATGTTCTTGGAGAACACAAGTTTTTGTTTTTAACTTGTTTGATTCCTTGTATGTGTTCATGCTGGATGCACCTAAACCTTGGCGATTCCTCTTCTGGGGGAACAGACATTGGAAATATATACCTGAGCTGGAGAGAGCCGTAAGAGAAGAAAACTTATTTAAGGAGTTGTATACAGGAAAATATGTCTGTATGTGCAGGGTAATTAATGTCGAGGAGTGAAGACATGGTAATATTAATGCTATGAAATATGGAAAGTTAAGTAAAAATTTCAATATTCTGAATATCCTCATGAGGGGAAGTAGTAAAATCCTTATTTCTCAAGATTCTTAGAAATGTAGATTGATAAAAGAGTGGAAGAGCATCAGGGACAATCATGAATTGGCTGGAGGATGCACTAGTTGACCCTTTAGGCCCTTTTCATTTGTAGAGTCTGTGTTTCTTAGTGATAAATCAAGAATGAGTAAAGCAGCTAATTGTTGCTGTTGTTTGTTGCTTGAGATCTTAATGAACAACATTTCTCAATGCCATGACATCAGGGCCAACTTTTCCCTGAGGCCTTGGAGTTCACTCTGAAAAAGGGCAGAAAAAGGAACTATTATTAATATTACAAATACCTCATTTTTTCAGATCAGCTGTGCTGCTACTTGGCACGTTTCTGATGCATTTTAATCAAGTTTTCAGACACTGGAAGAGGAGTAAGGTTTTAGGAGCCACCAACAAACCCTCTCAAAGTCTCTTTCCACTTTCCTTCTTTTTTAAGCACAGCAACCTCTGTGGTAGGGCTTCAGCACCGTGAGTGTAAAGCAACCTAGAATTCATGCTCAGCTGTCTGATAGCATCTAATATTTATATAGTGATCCTCTGAGAAAGTCAGTGCTAAAGAAAAGCTGTGTAGAGCTTACACGAGTATAAAATCTTAAAGCATGTTTTCTGTCCGAGTGTTCCTCATGTTTGTGTAGCTTGTTTCTGGCTGCACACACAACTTTAAGTGTAGATCTTTGGCAGTGGCACAAGAATGAATCCCATGTGATATACATGCTGGAATTTTTTTTCAGTCCTTACAGTAAATATGAGGTGTGTGGAATAGAGACTGTCCATCAAAGTAATAAACATTCAAAACTGTTTATAACAGAAAGTGCTTATTATTCATGTATTCCTTATCATATATTCTAAATTCATCTGAGCTGCTTTAAGCACATTTAATCTCTGATCTCACTAATCTCATTAATTGCTGTGGCACAGGTTATGAAATAATTTAAAACAGCATGTGTAATGAATTAATCTTCCATTTTTCAAAGCCTTATGTTGTAAGATGGCCACTGTTCTTACTTTCAAGTACCATACTGAATAATATGAATTGCCTTAATTCTTCATTGTCATGTCTAATTAAAAGTCTTTTAAAACTGTTTTTTTAGACAAGTAAAATCTGCCTTGTATTTTTTTCTTTTTCATGGGTTATTGTTTAAGGCAGAGTAAGTCAGTTTTAGAAAGTAAATTGAGATTTTAAGCATCACCAGTGTTCTGCGTGCTCAATTTGTTTTAAAGAAAACTTCCAAATCACACTGAAACAATGTTGCATCAAAAAAAATAAAAAATAAACACTGGACATTTGCGAAGGAATGTGTATCTCTTAGAGAAGCTGCAGTTTTCTAGGTCAGTCTCTCGCTTCCACATGCGTGTCTTCTCTCTGATTCTCTCCCCTTCCCCCCTCTCTCCTTCTCCCATTCCTTTTCGTTCCTCCTCTGGAATGGAATTGTTTCACGCTGAGATAAAGAAAATGGGGCAGTGTCAGTAGTCAGAACAATGAGCAATGATTTCTACTTATTGATACATCTTGAATTGTAACAAGAAATATGCCACCTTTGAAAAATGTAGCAAACGATAGATTATCAATCTGGAGATGATTAAAGATCTACTTAGACAATTTTTAACTACATTTGAACTATTTGGGTTCATTTTCTAGGAGACCTGTTCACCTATATTAGGTAAAATAGAATTAATACAGTGTGTGCTACACGAGTGTGGTAACACCCAGGGGAGGACCTGGCTAACACGGTTTATTTTATTGTGTCTCCCTTTATCAACATCGACCTTCTCTCGAGATAATCAGTACAAGCTGGACGAGGAATGAGTGTTAGCAGAGTGACCTTTGAGGAAGCAAGTCACCCAGAAATGACCATAACTTGCCCAGTCAGCCTTCACATTTCTTCCTACCCACTACCCCCCTCTCCAGTTTTTGCTAACTCCGACTTCCAGAGAACCTCCTGTTCAGGAACTAATCTTTCCTAATGCTTCTCAAACTTGTTATATTACTTTTTGAATAGTGTGTTTAGAAGTTAGGAAGGTAACTCTGACAAAATGTCATTAAGGTGCCTTAGTGTAAATTAACACAGCTAATGGAGGTACTCATGAGTGACTCATTGACCCAGTACTGGGCTCTTGTGGAATTAATGGATGCCAGGGGATCAACCTTTTGGGAGGAAAAGAAAGAAAGAAAAAGGAAAGGGCAGCTTTAAAACCTTGAAGTGAGTTATATTAGAAAAGTGAAAACGTCTGGGTTAGATTTGATTTCATTGGGAAGCCATAAAATGATATACCCTTAACAAAACATATTAAACAGAAACGTCAGATTTGATGCAAGTGGTATACTATTATGATAGTGTTAATAGTGGTCCTCTATCACTCCAAGACATATTTTTAAAGTTTAATTTCTCAGCAGCTTGGATTTGTCACAGGCTTGTAAATTAGAACACGCATTTGGGGATGTTTTCTTATGTGAAGACACAAGGCGTATAATACTGTTAACTATACCTTGGGGTTTTAGTATAGCTATTAAAATAAACTAGAGATTGCATTTACAGACAATAAGTGCCTGTTGTAATATTAATTTTACCTTTTTTTACACTCCTCAGTAGCTTTACTACATCGCTCTTCACCTACAAAGAGCCAAGCTTCTTGAACAGTTTGAGAGGTGGTGACTATTAAATGATAGAAAGCTAACCTGTCTTATTAGAAGTGTGAATGAAAGGGGAACAGAGGAGGTTACCAGCTTGTGAAATGTCAAGGACAACTAGACAGAAATTACTGCAAATGGATTTAGATCACCAGAATCCCTATTTTTATTAACTCTTTGAACTCTAGATATTTATTGTGGTAAGAAATTACCCATGACAGCTCATGTACTCTGCAAGATTTATTTAGATCCTTTGATATGTTTTGGCAATCGCAAAGAAAGAAATATAATTTACTGAATTGTATCTGTTAATGCAACACTATACATCAGATGAATGGCACGCAATAACAAGATGCATGTACATTTCTTAATTGTCTGTGGATATTTCAAAAATACCAGGCACTTTTTTTTTCAATATTCGTCCTCTGTGTCTTATTTCCTTTCATTCCCTCATTTTATGCCTGAAAACTAATGTAACTTCTGGGAAAGCTTTTTTACATTGTTATTCATTATGTTTTCCTTTATGACCTGTTTTACAGTGGCTGACTCAATGTTTATAGCTTAGGTAGACAATATTTAGAGATGTGTCTTTCATGTAAGTTTTTAGCTTGATGTAGGAACATAACAGAAAAGAACAACTTTTTCAAAATCATGGTAGCTGCAAACAAGCATGCCCCTGCACATATCTAGGTTTACACTGATGTTTTACCACTTGTTACACTGGTGGTGAAATAGGATCCGCTTACCAAACAAGTCAAGTGGAGAGCAGAATGGGAGTCAAAAGGTTCTCTGTGTCCCATCCACTGGTGTACCTAGTGTCACTGGAATGCATTTTCCACTGCTAATCTCTGTGGAAGGTTGAGTTTAAAAATGACCTTTCCAAAGAATGGAAATGGTATAAGAACTGATGTTATATGACAAATTCCATTCTGTATAAAAAGGAATAAAAAATATTCTAATGAATAGTTTGGGAAGACAAGAAGATTGTCTTACAGATCTGTGACTAAAGCTTAAGCTAAGTAGCTATACGTAAGGTAAAATCATTGTCATTTGTACTTATTTTTAAGCACTGAAAAAATGTGAATCTGGCATGAGAATTCTTTCCAAATGTAATAAACTGCAAACAGCAAAGAGTAATCTGTTCTCCATATCCACAATGGATCGGTGGGTAGGACAAGGGGAAATCATCTTAGATTGTGTAATGAAAGATTTTGGCCAGGCCTGAGGTGAAACTTGCTTACATGGAAAATACTGGAGTCAGCTGATGGAAGTAGTGTGGAGTTGCCAACAGTCAAGTTGTAGAACAACAGGGTGGACAAGCATCTGTATAATCTGAGGAAAGGGCAAGGTCACCTCTTCAAGTGTAACCAGCAAGCAGTAACACTGTTTGAGATATTTCTTCTTGTCCTTAACAGGAAAACACCCAAAGAACTGTCTCTGTCTACCTGTGTGCTTTACTGAAATATGAACTGAAGCAAACCTGCTTCTGAAACAGAGAAAACAGCCTCTGGCTGAGAAAAATACAAATAGGTTTTGAAAATAAGCCCATCCTTTGCTAGCATATTCCTTTGTTCATTCCTTCAGTGTCTTCTTGGTTAGCACAATTCTCACAGGGCCCTAGTTGTCATCTTTCTGTCTCTGCTGAGATTCCCCGCTGCCTGCTCATGCCTGCTGTCCCTGCCCTCCCAGCAGCTTCCCAGCTCTGCCCTTGCGCTCTGGCTCCCTCCAACCCATGCTGCCTCCAGCAAGGCATGCTCAGGGGCTCTGGGACAGAGTATTTCCCTCCCATCCTCATCCAGCCCCCGCCATCAGAAGCAGGTAGAAGGGACAGCTCTTTCATTTTTAAATGTAGCAAAGTGGAAATACACGCATTAATAAGTATCTGGAAAAAAATGATCCTTCCTATCACACTGCTCTAGGCTGGCTTTATTTCCATGCTTCTGAATAGCTGAATTAGGAGATTTTTTTCCACCACTGACAAATTATGGGATGCCTATTGTTTGTTTTTTCCTTTGCAATGGGCCTATGTTTTAGTATATACTCATTTCTTATCTGGAAGAGAGAAGAAGATGGAGTTACCCGAGGCATTGTTAAGAGATGCAGTTATGTAGCATAGCCAGTAGTAGAGACAACGAAATTTAAGAAGCACATAAAGTGATACAAAAGAAAACTGAACAGTTAATGCAAAGTATGGGAAATACGTAACTGAGAAAGGCATGCACACTTTTGTTTGCATTTTTTTTGTAAGGTTTAATTTATGCTAAGTAGTATTCAAGTAAGTAAACATGATTGTAGGCTGCACTAAAAATAACACTGAAGAGCGACTGTAGGAGTCGTTCTATCAAATCTCTGAAATGCTATGTTTAGTTTTGTTACACTGACTGGAATGAAAAAAATAAAGGAGATGCGTAACTGAAATGATTAGGGTTCTAGAGAGGGCTGTTTCAGTACGACTTGGAAGTCTGGCACTGCTTAGTTTCCATAGCACAGGAATAAAACAGGTCAGGCAAAACATATACAATGCAATAAATCTTACGAAGAAAGGTAATCACACGCTTTCTATTTATCCTATTTCTGTTTATGTTTTCTGCTATTCCAGGCAAGGGAACACTAAATTACACTGAAATAGCAACAAAGATAAAATTTCTAAATGGAAATACCATTAAAAAAATTCATTGACTTAAATCCCTTTGTTTCAAGATACCATTGAAGTCAGAAGGTTAGAATTCAGTTAAACACTGAACGTGTCTCTGAGTAACACAAATCATACAGGTATGGTAGATGTAAAATTTCACAGTTAGATCCTGGGATGTGTTAAGCTGAAGAAGAGAAGTTTTGTTTAGATATCTTTGATAGAATCATAAACATGCTTGCTGTTTGAAATTATGGGTTGGCACACAACCATACTGCATTAAAAAATAAATTATTAAAAAAGAGTGGAACGTGATTCAAATCTTTTATCCAAAATAGAAATACGCTTTAGTTTAGCATTATACTTTTTTTCTTTACTAAATTATTTTTCATTTGAATATTGGCTTTCATATAACTTTGAACCAGTAATATTTCAGCATTCTTATGTCCTTTTGAATTTGGCTGGTCTTTGAGACAGTGCTCTTGGGCTGTCAGTTAGTGTTTTGTACTGTAGGACATGTCCCTTTCTGGCCACTTCTTAGTCCAAAATAAGTAGCTGTTCATTGAAATATAGAGATCTGTGTCTACTTTTCTCCAACTGAGAGGACTGTTCTTTCTTCTTAGGGCTCCATTAAAGCAGACCTATAATGACTGTTTTTAGTATATTAAAAATGATTGAAAGAGGACAAAATAATTTAAATTGTAACATAAACATTCATATATGTGTGTTTTCTGATAATCTTGAAAGGACCATCTATGCTTTAGCTGCTCTGTTCTCTATGGACATGTAAGGCAGATTTAATTGGATAAGCGAGTGTCTGCAGTGATTTTTTTTCACACTCTGCATATCTGCAGTTTTGAAAGGACCACAAAGAGATTCAAGTTTCAGGTGCTGTGACATCAGTTTTGATCATGTTACACAACTGAATACCATAATGCTTTTAACAAGGGAATTTAGAGAATTTAATCCATACCTGGATATTAGAAAGGAGATGGTGGGCTTTAAAGCTTATTTTTATTGCAGTTCAATACTTTCTGCTAAAATAATAGGCAGTAACATATGGAGATGTTTCTTACATCAAAATGGATTTCTATTTAGCTATCAGGAAATTAGGAGAAGATTCCCTCTCTAACTTATTTATAATATATTAACACATTAAGTCATCTTAGCCACTTTGTTACTGAACTTTCCCTGTTTAGGTATCTAGGTATTTTTTAAGAACATATGCTCTATTGACATTTTTCTCTTCATGCATTTTTGATTTTTTCTTACAGTAGAAATGTTCCTTCACCCTAAATTCTACTCCCTTATATACACAATCAAATTGCCACACTTGTAAAACCTCCACCTCATTTATGGTACTGAAGGGTCACCATATAGCTCCTAGTATGTGTTATTCTGAAGAGGACTTCTTCAATTATATGCACTGTTTTTCTAAACTTGTGTTTTTCATCAGAACACATATAGGTGAAAACAAGATTAAATGTTTCATTGTAAAAGACTTCAAGAATGCAAGTGCAAGAAAACGGATTATAAAAAATCTTAAGTATATACGCAGAAACAAAATTGAAACAAGAGTGCTTTCATGGATACTTCAATAGCACCTGATTCCATCAGCACCATCCAGCATTGCTCTATAATGTGGCCTTATTGTGTGTTTTCTCCCTTCTAGGAATTAATTCCAGAATTTTACTATCTACCAGAGATGTTTGTCAACAGTAACGGCTATAATCTAGGAATCAGAGAAGATGAAGTTGTTGTGAATGATGTTGAGCTCCCACCTTGGGCCAAGAAGCCTGAGGACTTTGTCCGTATCAACAGGATGGTAAGTAGCACTTTAATTTCTCTTTAATTTTAATTTTCATCTCTTTAGAGTTAGGCTTAAATAAATGAAATAGAAAGTGAGGGAAAATTTGCATTCTCTGTTATTTCAAAGAAAGGATATTTTTCAACAAAATTTAATTATTTTTGAGAAAGCATGAGATTCCATGAGATTATTCAATTATTAATGGGAAGGCATCAGAGAGGCATAAGTTGGATGATGCAGGACAGCCTGAAAAATTTAAGTCTGTTTCTCTTTACCAGCTTTCAAATGAAAAATTCGAAAGCTGTTGTAAGTGCTGGTGTGTTGCAAGAAATGTTACATTCCTTCCTCAAGCCATGTAATTCCCATTCAGAGATGAGCTGGAAGTACAGAAGTATGAACATTAGCCAATAACTGCAGTCTCTGTAGACTTTTTTGAAAGAAATGATTTGATGTAAATTACCATGAAGTCCACTAGATTTAGGCATGAAAAACACTTATCTATATCAGTATTTTGTTGTTTTTTTTTTTTCTTGCTTTAATGTTATAAATAATTATCTTGGTTAATGATAGAATCGAAATGTTTGTTTATATTCATTTTAAGGATAAAATGATAGATATATTCTGATATAATGGCAATAGTTCAATTTATGGTTGTCTTTTGGAAATGGATCTTTCTTAAAATGTGTCTTGTCTATGTTGTTTATATAGCTTTTGAAGCTATGGGTTCCCATACAGTTGCAGAGCCATTCAGTTGTTTCATTATTCTCTACAGGGCTTTTGTTGTACCAGTGTATGTCTAGCAGTGTTATTTTTCTTATGATCAGTTTGGCAATTTAATTTCAAGAAATGTGTATTTAAAGAAAATTGTTCTTAAGGGGCTGGTGGAAAAATAGCTGTATGAAGTTCAAAAGAATAGGGGAATGTTACAAAAACAAATTTATTCCTATGATTTAGAAGTGGATGTGTGGAACAGTAAATGATTTGACTTATGTACAACAGTCTCCTAAGGAAGTGATGGCAACCTCATCACTTCAGATATGAAATGCACTAAACAAAGCGTGAGAAATGTGTTCCAAGGAATAGTCCATAATAGGCAGGATGAAACTGAAAAACATTTCCCTTCTTGTTCTTGGCTGCTTTCACTTATAGCTGTGTATAATGTAACACGCTTTCTAAAAACAAGCAATTGTCATAGCTGCTAGCAATAAATTCAAATGCAATTTTACCACAAAAAAGGGACTGTGAACTGAAAGGATCATTACCCTCCATTACCATTCTCAAGTGGGACACATGCAGTCACAGGTGAGCATCTCCAGGGTGCCCATGTCACTGCACAGAACCCTCTTTTTGGATTGTGGTTGCAGTGAAACCTGAACTGGGAAGTTGATCAGCAATTTGGTTTTGACATCTCTAAGAACAGAAGCTCAATACCTCAGTGGCAAAGGGTAAACAAGCTGTCATCTATTAGGGAATAAAATGAGAGATGTATATTGATGATTCCCTTCGGTGAAATTTTATAAAGGATGTTCCTTTTTTTCTGTCCTAGCTTGTGTTTTTCCATCTTTACACAAAGATGAGGATAAAGAGACCTGTGTGCTAAGAGATCACTTGAAGAAAGTCTTCAACTTTAGTTTGTTTCTGCTTTCTAGAAAATAGCATAGGAGCTCTCTATAGAAAATTTTGTTCTGAGATATTAGCAGCTGTTGAGGAAAATTTTAAGTAGAAAACTATTCCCCTTCATGACTATTCTTTCAATGAAGACTGGTAGATAAAAGCTGGAAATGCTTTTAGATATTAAGCTGTAGTAGCACTAATGACTGTTTCTATCCATACGTATGCTCAGATTGCTGTAAACTGGATGAGCTGGTGTTAAGATTCTCCACTTCAACTAATAGAATACTTTGCCAATTTCTAAAAACACAAATGATCTCATTTTTGTATCCCACTCTTCCTATTCTTCCTTCCACTCTTGTCCCCACATGTGAGCATTGTCCTGCTGTTATACAGTTCTACCTGGAGGCATTTTCTGCATTGCCTTCCTTCTTCCTAACATTTACTTTTAGCAGGAGCAGGATCACCAGATCGAAGTTAAGTTCTACACAGATACATACTGTCTTGAAGTGAGCAGTCTGATGAAATTTCTAAGGAATGGATTAGAAAACAAGAGAAAGATGCATAGATTTACTTGAATTAGATGCAGAAAGCACACTGAAAATAACCTTTGAAGGAAAGAATTAAAGACATTCAATGAGAAGCAGAAGTCTGTAAACAAAAATAGTACTGAAGGAGAGCAGCAGTGAGGGAGGAGTGATAATGAGCAGCAATTAGATCAGATATAGTTCTATATCATATATAGAGTGGTTCTGTATAGCACCAGTGTATTTGGATGCCATCTATGGAGAGTTGTTGCATCACAGCAGATGCATTCTGTTGTGCCTGCCTATGGTTCTTTTGAGACTGCACCTGGAATATTAGATTCACTTCTGGGTGACTAGAAGACAAAGCATTTGCATTTGGAAGCAGTTCAGAGGCTAGAAACAACATGAAGAACTTTGGGATGTTAAAATAGTGTTTTAGGTGCATAATTTTTTGTGAAACATCATGGAGCAGCAAGTAACTGAAAAATGCATAAAGTAAGTATAGAAAGAAGTCACAAAATTTTTTTTTAAAGATAAAACAGGTAATATATTTTCAGGAAAACCTTCACATAGGGTTTATTAGCTCAGATAGCCACTACACTTTCATTTTGGTCACTGGAAACAGATAGGTCAATGCAGGGAACAAATAGAATTGGAAAGTCTGACATTCTCTACCTAATGTCAGAGCCGTGTTCTGAGCTGGTCAGCAGATGTATTATTCAGTTAGGTCATTCCCAGGCCAAGCTCTGGCTGTTACACAAGAATCCTTCTCCAGAAAAAAAGTAGCCCCGCTTTGGTGCTGACGTGTAAAACACAGCAAGCTTGTGCAAGTCTGGGATTTCTGCATGAGGTTTGCAAAGCAAGCCGAGAGCAGGTTTACAGGATGGCCACAGAAAATTGAAGAACACTTCAAGTAAGCGTTATCCTGATCCTTTGTCTAATGAAGTCAGTGGTAGTCATTTCATTTCAGTGAATAGGATCTGATGTGGTACAATGTGTCACATAGAGTGGAAACTTATTTTTTCCTACCTGACAATATTTTTATTTGATCATGCATATTTTTTTTTGCTCGCTACCAGCATATACACATATATTATGTGTAGTTTTGTGTGGAGGTAAATACGAATATGAAGCTTACTTGTCCATTTACAAAGGTAAATATTTTCTTTTAATAACAGCTCACAAGGGCAAGCAGAGAAGAGCTTAGCAAACTCCACAGAGACACAGTGATATAAAAAGATGTAGTTTAACCAGTTGGTTAACAAAACTTACTAAAATTCTGTTCTAATTAATAAAGGGCCAACAAGTTTAGGTTGTTTCATTTGATAGTTCAATCAGGTGTTACACATTTCTAAGCAAATACAGAAATGGAAGTAAAAATGATTTCCCATCAAAAAAGATTGCTTTAAACTTTGGAAAATTAGACATACTATAAACAGTGGAAAAGGCACTCAGTGCTGTTATTTTAAGATCTATTACAGCAGATTCTAAAGTCTCAGTGTATACATCAGGGATCGTTGCAGCAGTTTTATTTATCCATACAAAGCTAGACTGATTACTATGGACTTACTCATGAAACATTAATAAAGCACTATGTTCAATGCTAACATGATTATGGTCTGACCTCGGTGATGGCACAAAGGACGGAGGCAGAAAGTGTCCCTGATAACATTACCCTAATGCTAGGCTCATCAATCATAATCTCCCAGTTTACCAGGAAAAAAAACCCACGCATAAAACCTTCCACAGATGTGCATCTGTAGTCCTGCTCAGTCTCTCAATCCCTACAGACTTTGAGCAGTCCTGAGAGCCAGAAATAGAGCATATTCAGGCAGTAAGTCAAGCATGTTAAATCAAGGCAGGAAACACCACTGCTAAACACTGAAGCAGAGCTTTTTAAATAACCAGTCTTTAATTTGGAAACAAAAGATGCAATATTGTGTAATTCAAAGTTAATTATAATGATATTTTCATTATGGCTTAGACACATATTAAATTGCAAATTACAGTGTTGAGTAAAATGCGTTCACTGCAAATTATATTTTTTGAAAGCCTGAATGGTGTCCTGTTTTTCTTATACATATTTTGTTCCTATTACATAGCTGTTACTAAGATTGAATTCTCCTTCTGTCTTTGAAATGATTTATTTAAACTCTTCTGCTGCCAATTGCATTTTTGTACAGATCTCTGGCTATTCAGAAGCATGCATAGTATTTCATAATTAAAAAGCTTTTTCAATGGTCATTAGATACATCTATTTTGAAATCTCTGTGCTGCAAGGATCAGGGAGATTTATTGTTTTTGCTCACCGTTCAGCAGCAGTTGGCATTCCATTCTTAGCAGATAGGCAGTATGTAAGATTTTGTATTAAGATTTTGTATTATTTCATCAGTCGTAGCATGTTTGATTTTTTTGTGCCTTGCCAAGGTTTGTTCTTCATGCAATTAAATTCATTCAGCTCACAGGTGTTTCAGTCTTACTGGGAAATGACAGTGGGTTTTTCTTTTTTTCTTTTTTTCTTTTTTCTTTTTTTTTTTTTAAGCTTTCTATATCACTGAAGAATCTATTTATGTATTGAAGCTGCTCACATAAAGGATCAGTTCCTGCACAGACATCCCTAGAATAACCCAAATATGCACAATACATTTGTTTCTCTTTTATTAAAAGATTAATTTGCTTAAACAAACAGAACAAATTCCAGGTATCAGTATTTCTTTTTTATTGTGCAGCAAGAGTCAAAGACTTTACCCCCTTGAATGGTACAAGAAATGCTGAAAGAGTAAGTGAAATATTAAGCTGAGATAATCTGCATATTCAGAGCTTTTCTATTCTCCAGACACACACAAAAAAACACCAAACACTGATTAAGGCAAAATGCCTGTGTGTTAGAAAGGTGTTAGAAGTCCTGATACTTTACGCAACATACGTTTTGCATTAAAATAAAAACCAGTGTCTTCAACTGGAATCTCTGCGAAACATAATTTTTACTCCAAATTAGGATGAAAGCGTTCTACCTTCATCCTTCAGAAACCTCAGAATTTAGGAGAAAGAAATTTTCGCTGTAAGTGCAATTACCTAGCTTCCTTAAATCAGACATCTTGTGGAAAGCATAGGTGTTCATAGGTGTTTCACTCAGAGGGTGGTGACACACTGGAACAGGTTGCCCGAGGAGGTTGTGGATGCCCCATCCCTGGAGGCATTCAAGGCCAGGCTGGATGTGGCTCTGGGCAGCCTGGTCTGCTGGTTGGTGACCCTGCACATAGCAGGGGGTTGAAACTAGATAATCTTTTCAACCCAGGCCATTCTATGATTCTATGGTTCAGGTGTTCTAGTTAAAAATTTTACTGAGGAGTGATATATGAAATTCTTACATTTGCCCAGAATTTAAATTGGAAATAGATATAGAACTCGATTCCACTAAGCAGTAACTTGGCTAATATTAATCTCAGTTTACGCATAAGGATCAACTTACTAATTTCAATTTGTATTTTACAACAGTTACAGGTCTGATTTTCAGCCTGTGGAACATGTGTGCATATGCTTGCAGGCAAACACAGAAAAAACACAATTCCTTTACTTCAAAATATTTATCTTTCTCTCACTAGAGAGTTCTTTATTATTAATTGTAATAGAAAACAAGCTAGATATTACCTCATTTCTGTTTAATCGTTTGTATCTCTTAGAAAGGCATAAATAATGCTGTATCATTATTAATACATATACTATATACTTATTAAAATTTTACTTCTACATAAGATGTAGAATAATAATGACAGAATAACAGAATAGAATAATATGACAGAATATCCTGATTTGGAAGACACTCACAAGGATCACTGACCCCAACTCCTAGCTTCATACAAAACTACCAGAAAACATTCCAAGATGGGTGAATTTGCAAGGACCTCTGGATGCCATCTTGTTCAGCTCCCGTTCCAGCAGGGTCACCCAGAGCAAGGTGCCCAGGGCCACGTCCAGGTAACTTTGGAAGATCCCCAAGAAGGATACTCCTCAGCCTCTGGGGAGCCTGTGCCACCGCTTCAGTGCCTGAGAGAAGCTTTCCCAGTGTTCAAAGGGAAATTCCTGTGCTGCAGTTTGTGCCTATGGTCTCTGGTCCTAGCCCTGGGCACCACTGGACAGAGCCTGATGCCATCCACTTGCCTTCTCCCCACCCCTCTTTTTTTTAGGTATTTATGGACACTGAGATCCTTCTGAGCCTTCACTTCTCCAAGCAGAAGAGTCCCATCTCTCCCAGCCTCTTCTCATATGGGAGAGTCTCCAGTCCCTTCAACGGATTCGTGGCACTTTATTGGACTCTCTCCAGTATATCCATGTCACTCTTGGTACTTGGGAGGCCCAGAACTGGACCCAGTATTCCAAGTGTGGCCTCACCACACTCAGTAGAGGAAGGATCATCTCCCTCCACCTGCTGGTGATACTTTGCCCAGGAATACCATTAGCCTACTTAGCAACAAGGGCACATTACTGGCTCATGTTCAACTTGGTGTCCAAGAGGACATATAATTATATAGGTGATAATTATTATTAATACCTCCAGTATGTTTTAAAGCCACAATCTTTTTGAACACTGTCTTCTTTATGGCCATCATCTACTTACCTTAAAGAAATGTTTGTCTTTTTCTGCATGTTGTTACTCCTGTACCTACAAATTGTATTTACACAGAAAATTCTCTCACCCTACCCCCTACTAAGCATTGCATATTCATGAAAAACCAAACCATGTACAGCTGACAGTGATGCACTCATAAATTTTCAGGAGGGACTTTCATGGAAGGGGAGCAGCTTGTACATTAGTGCAAATTAGGGAGAAGATTCTGCAGGTGCCTCTGCCAAAATCCCTGCCACAGCAGTTGTCCACCACACAGCGCCTGGCAGGTATTGTCCTTGCCACACCAGCATCCTCATAGTCTCCCTGACAGTAACACACTGGGCTTCCACTTTTGCATGCAATTGAGAAAAGTATAGCTCCACATAACTAAATTTGTCTCTTATGTATTTCCCATTTAAGCATACAGACCTTTAAAGAAGCTTTAGACCTCTTAAGATAGTACAATAAATCTGCTTAAAGTGTTGCAGACAGGGGATAAGACATGCTGCTGTGGAAAACCAGTTCATTTGTGTAGAAAGTTATTAAAGAGCAGATCCTTGTGAAATAGAAGTTCTTCATACCTGCCAGGGTCACTGAGACCTTCTCTGGAATGACAAGCTGTTGAGCAGCGGCTGGTCATGCAAGTTGAAACTGCCTCAGGGAAACCTAACATAAGTGTTCAATTCTGCTACCATAGGGGAGAGGATGTTTTAGAAGATAATGGCTGAAATATGCTGATTTGACCCAAGCTTTTTTATTTATTTATTTATTTATTTATTTATTTCAGATTTACTGTCCAACTTTTAAATAGTGTGCTTCTAACTCAAAATTCCATCATTTATCTGAAATGTTATCTGCATACTTGAGAAATAAAAATGCTATTTTTGTCCACTGCAAACACCTAACATGTCATTTCATAATCTCCTTTTTAATAAATGGCCACAAGCCAACCTTACAAAATGCAGAGGAGAAAGAGAACTATTGGATTGCTCATTGTAAGTTGGTTGGAGATGGATACTAGAAAGACAGCAGGCTTAAAATCCTGCTCTAAATTTTCTTGCATACAAAGGAACATTAAAAATTGACCATTTAAAGGTTAGGAAATGCTTTATTCATGATTATGGTAGCATACTTAATTTTGTCCTTGTATGCTAACATCCTTCAAGCTGAATAAGGTAAAAGATCTATGAAAAAAGAGTACACAAGATCATGCAGTTACTGACTATATGCTGCACACATGCAAGATAATATAATTATGGATCTGACATTACTTATTTATTTAGAGACACACTTTGAAATTGAGTAGTTTATTATTAATGTATTTTAATAAGATTAGGCAAAATTTGCATGTGATGGCCTTCGATTTTGGGAAGGGAGTAACACATTTTTATACAGTTCTCTGCAACATTTGTTTGTAGGTTCTTGTAGAATCCCAAACTTCAGCCCTTGAAAACTGAGCTCCATGTCAGCTATGAAGTCTGAGCCTTCACATCTGTTTTCCTCAGAAATAGTCTTCACTGATTTTGTCAGAGAACGGTCTGGTTTTCCATCATGGCATAGAGTTCCTCTTCCATGTGAAGCACTGGGGAATGATTGCCTGAATGAAGGAATTAGGATTACTCAAGAGAAAAAAACAACACAAGTAAACAACCAACCCCAACAAAACATAATCTTTAAAAATTAAAAGTGCTAGATAACATTACATAACAGATTGCTGTCAGCTCTGCCTGTGTGCAGATGAAAGACAGTAAGCTTGACATAGCTGTTTACATAATAAATTGTATTAAGACTGGTATTCTTTTCTTCAGACAGAGCCAGGCTCATGTCTAATGGTGCCTAGGGCTAGGGCCAGAAGCCATGGGCACAAACTGAAGCACAGGAGGTTTCTTCTGAAAACCAGGAGCACTTCTGTGCTGTGCAGTGATGGAGCACTGGCACAGGCTACCCAGAGGCTCCTCCTTGGGGATCTTCCAAAACCCCCTCAACATGGCCCTTGGCACCCTGCTCTGAGTGTCCCTGCTGAGGCGGGGACTGAACAAGTTGACATCCAGAGGGCCCTGAAAACCTCAAGCATTCTGTGATTTCATTATCAGTTTTCTTCAAATTAACTAATTGGAAGTTAGCGCTCAGATCTAAGAAGTGAGCCAAATCTCCTCTGATCAGAGGGAGCTAGGTATACAAAACTGTACTAAAGCACAATTTTGATGTATTTTGGGCAAGGGTGCATATAGAAACATTGTTAATGGAACAAGAATCTTCATTTTAGTACCAGTTCCTGTTGATCTGAGGCCTTCTTTAAAGGTAGCGTTGGGAATCAAAGAATTAGAGCATCTAACGTACCTTCTGAGTCAGCTTTATGAAGGGATAAGGAGGAGCTATGTAATGCCTTCAGGCTTTGAAAGTTCATTTCAGGCAATGATATCTACTAAGGATGCAAATAGTTTGATGCAGGCATAGTGTTTGTATAATAATAATATTGCCATCATTCTCTCTTTCTAGCATTAGTCCTTTTCCATATGCTAAGCAACAGGGTAACAATCCTTGAAGACATTTCTAAACAAATAATGTCCTGTATTTTCCCTGGTGGACCAATCTCGTGTCAGAAATGAATGTGAAAAAAAATCTTTTCCTGTGAGAAATAAGTGAAAATTCACACAGAGAGTTGAGAACCTGATTTTGTCAATGCGCTTTGTAATCCTCAAGTTTCCCTCTAAGATTTAAGGCTAATTATAACTAGTCAGAAAAATGTGGAGGAATATCGGGTTTATGAAATTGTTTTCTCACTTTTATCAGTATATCTTGATGAATTATCTAACTTATTTGACAAGCCCAAATTAATTATTAAACCCTTGCAACTAGGAGAAAGTCAGTGGCTGAAAAGAAAGATACCATGATATAAAGTTGAATGAAAGAAAAATGCCTTTTTGGGTTTTTCTGTTTTTTTTTTTTTTTTTGGTTTTTTTTTTTTTTTTGTTTTTCCAATATAATTCTGTTTTTTTAATATTTGAAAGATTTCAAATGAATTGGATAAGCCTGAACAGAAAATGTAATGATTCCTCAGTTAATAGGAGATGGTAAGACGTAATTTAAGCACAAAAGCGCAAGATGGAATTTAGTTCCTTACTCTGAACTTCACTTGCAGGCCCTGGAAAGCGAATTTGTGTCATGTCAACTTCATCAGTGGATTGACCTTATATTTGGCTATAAGCAACGGGGACCAGAAGCAGTGCGCGCACTCAATGTTTTCCACTACCTAACATATGAAGGCTCTGTGAACCTGGACAGTATCACTGATCCTGTCCTCAGGGAGGTAGGTGTTTATGCTATTTCATTCTAAAGACTGCTGTCATCTCACAAGAAATGGTACTTTTTTCATCTTTCACTGCTGCCAAAAATTGTAGGGTATGATTCAGAATCTGAACCCTTCAGAAGCAAGAATTAATTAGCTAGTGATGAAACAGATGTCCCAAGGTGTTTTGTTTGCTTGGATTTACTAATATATTTTATAGCCTCTTGTGATATGGAAAATCGTAACATAATGTATATTCTATAATTTAAATTCTGAAAATTTTTATAATTAATTACTTTTAGTAAGTTCACTTACTAGAACTGAAAAGCTAAAGAAAAAGACTGCATCACAATCACAATAAAAAATCTATTTTTTTTCAACCAGATAATGTGGGAAAAATGTTTATGGATATGAAAATGCTTGCTAGATGGACAACAGAAATAATTCAGATTAGTTCTGTGTTAATCATGATCAAAATGATGCCAACACGGAAAATGTTTGCTATTGTGCATATAAACATTTATGCTTGTATGTTTGTGCATAGTATAAGTACGTACATTGAGTGTGCATCTGAAATGGCATTATCAGGAAATCTTAAGAAAAAAACTACTAGTTACCTTGATATATGTTTTCTTCCAGTTTCTGTATTTGTTTTTATTAAGACTGTTAATTTGAATCATTATTTCTCAAATATCATCCAATCGTTGGATAAGACAATTGAAATTAGGTGGAAAGTGTGAAGAAGCAACAGCTGCTAGATGAGTACCACTGTGATGAAGCTGTATACACAATCTTCCATTCCCCCAGATAGTTACCATCTGCTGTATGCAAAATAGTAATAATTTATACATTGCCAGGCGATGTGTTATTGTTTGTTTGTTTGTTTGTTTATTCTTACATCTTGGAATTACTCTGAAATCTACAGATTTCAGAGGGAAGTATGTTATAGAAAGCAATTCAATTCAGTGTAATTCTGGGTTTTGTCATGTTGCTTTCTAGTAGTGAGTTGTTTCTTTGGTGCTTTTTCAGGAGCAGAATTGAAAAAAACATTTGGTTTCTTATGTTGCTATAGCTGGATTTTCACCTCATGCACTGCAAAGCTTATATTTTGTACACAGTATTTGTTTGGCTTTACAAATGGGCAAAATTGCATTGATATCAAATATTTGTTGCTAATGTGTACAAAACCATCTTCTGCATTTAAAACTTTGATGATGAGAAGTCAAAAAAGTAGAAAAATGCAAAAACAAAGGAGCAATGGTTTTTAAAGCATAAAACAGGTGTCAAGCACCATGAATGCAAGGGATTAGCATAGCTTAAGGTCCTGATTTACATGGGCAGACTTCGATGTCTTGACTTTAAAAGATCTGCTCCCACAGGGCAGCTTGTAGGATTGAAGTCTATCTGTCTGTCTCTGCACCTTATTTAACATCTTATGACATGATGAGGCTCTTCAACTCTCCTGTGGCTCTGCTTACATGCATAACTTGTCATCAGAAATTTCAAGAAATTCATGGAAATGTTTTTGTTCACTCACTTGTACATCTAACCCCTGCCCTCTCAGTCAGTAGTGCATAAACCTCTTCTTAAGCTTTTATTTACGCCAAGTAAACAACTGAAAGCACAACTTCATCCTTATTACCACCATGAAGATTAGCAAAGAAAATACACTGCTAGTAGTGAGAAGACAAAATATCTTGAAAAAATAAATACCTGTTTATGAAAGTAGGAGACATTCTCCGTCCAGTAACAAAGCATTTAACATTTTGATGATCTAGTAGATGTCATGTTTATTTTGAAAGTATATATAACTCTCTCTGTATTGTTGTATTGACGCTTTTTTTTTATTCCTGTTTTTACCAGATATTCCAGAAAATAAATTAAAAGCAAAAAGTTCTTTAAAGCCTGAAATGTAAAGACAGATACACTAGACTGTATGCAAGTAATGACAACAGTTATTTAATGCATTTTATAATGGTAGGCAGTGGTGTCTAGTGTCTTAACATGAAAGCATGACCATTTAAAATTAATGGAGCTTTGCAGTTATCTGAGAAAATTCATATCTCAGCATACAAGCTTGTTTGGTATTTATTTTCTAAATAAATGGGAATTTGCTTTGGCACAAAGGCAGTGAATGTACTGAATAAATGATAGTTAAAAAAGCACATAAATGCACATTGATTGTCAGCAGCCATTATCAGACCAATGTCCTCAGATAGGGCAGTAGCATCTTCAAAGTATCCATAGCTAACAGTGTGTGGAGCTGAATCCCTGAAGAATCTTCCTAGTGAGATGAGGCTCCAAATAGTCACACTGAAGTCTGACCTGATTGAAAGGCATAATTTAAAAAGGAATATCCCAGCGACCTACTCAAATTCTCCTTTGGCCTTTTTGTTTCCACCATTTTCTTAAGCACCTCACATCCATTGCAGAATGGCGAAGAGGTTACTTCAGTCTCCATATGATTGGAATTAAAATGTAGTCAAAGATGGTGTGGCTTAACCCAGGTTGAGGGAGGCAGGCTTGTTCAGCCTGGAGAAGCGAAGGCTGAGGGGTGACCTCATTGCAGCCTTCCAGTCCCTAAAAGGAGCCTACAAACAGGAGGGAAGCCAACTCTTTACAAGGGTAGATAATGGCATGACAAGGGGAAATAGTTTTAAGTTGACATTTCAGTTAACATTTAGATTGGATATCAGAGGGAAATTCTTTACAAAGAGAGTGGTGAGATGCTGGAGCAGGCTGCCCAGAGAGGACATGGATGCCCTGTCTCTGGGGGTGTTCAAGGCCAGATTGTATGGGGCCATTGGCAGCCTGGTCTAGTATCAGATATTGGGGTTGTTGGAGGCTGGAGATTGATGATCCTTGAGGTCACTTCCAGCCCAAGCCATTCTATGATTCTGTGATTCCTGCCATCAGCTACATCTTTCTCAAGTGCATGCAGGAACCCTGAAAGAGCTCTCTAATGTTTGACACTCTAACGTGTCCATCCTGTGCTGTTTTCCTTCTTGGCCATTCTGGATGAAACCAGAATGGTGGATAGCATTAAACTTTATATTACTGAAGTTGAAGTCTCTGAAATCTCATATGTCTGTCCCTCAAAAAACTCTTTGGGAAGTTAAGATCTGCACTTGGTGGGTAAAATAAACTGGTTTCAATGCAACATACTGATTTTGGTTTCTCAGACAACTTTGTAATTTTCTGATGCCACTGGGAAATAAAAAAAAAAAAGAAAGAAAGAAAAGAAAAAAAAGAAAATGAGAGCAAAATGAAAATCTGGACTTAAATGTTGCACAGGACATATAAAACTGAATTTTGTTGTTTAAGTATTGTATGATTAGAATTTGGAAAAATCTCTTGTTTTGTCAGTTATGGTAGCTTCTGTTATTCTGCGCAGTGCACAATTGTTTACATGTTGTAATAAGGAGGAGGAAAAACATGTTGTGAAATACATTTTTTTCATTACAACCTCTTACGTTTTATTTTTACTTTTTTAATGTAAAAGCAGTGAGGAGGAAGCTGAAACTTGAAGAACAGCTTAAGGATATTGACTCATTCTTGCTTGACAGGTGAAATCATGGTTGCAGCACTAACCACAGCAATTACAGCATTAAAATGTCAAGAAATTAGAGGTCAGAATAACAGATAATTTTCTTCCTTTTGTCAGATTAAAAATTGACATTCTTTGACAGCACAGGATCTCTAGCTGAGAAAATTATGACAGCTTAACTCATCTTGTACTTGTAAAGCAGTAATTGATAATGAACTTTACTATGACAGTCTTCTCCTGTGGAGAAACATGACAGAACATCACCGGTACAAAGCCTGTATCTCTTTTTAATATGTAAACAGTAGTTATATTGGACATTAGATGTTATTTGGAATCATCTTTACTGTTAGTATACATCATAATCCAAGTCATTTCCACTGGACAGATTCAGCTGACTTCAGAGGCTGATGCTCAGAATGCTAATGCGTAACGAACAGTATCTCCAGTCTAGTTTGCATTACTAGTTTTGTATTATTTCTTTAGGGAAATGTAATTGCTCGTCTCCCAGTATCTACAATATCCCAATATTCTCCCCAAATATTTACAGCTTTCAGGACCCCCACTTCCCGCTATGACTTTTTTTTTTTCTTTTTTTTTCCTTCTCTCAATTGCTGCTTGTCCAAGTTGAAATACCTGGAAGAACGTTGAGATTTTTGCAGATACCAACACCGGAACACCTGGAAATCTGAATAATCAGAAATCAGTAGAGTTGTGGTTTTTTTCAAGTTAGGAACTTGTTTCTGCATGACAGTGTTGTGGCTGGAAAGAAATAGAATAGTTATCCTTGTCATTAGAAAATGCAATAAAAGAGCTGAAATTATGGATCAAACTCAAAGTATTGTTCAGGTAGTATACAGTGGATTGATCCCATGCAATTCCAAAAGCATATATTAAGTATAACCTCATAATATTTCAGGTTTTCTGTTTATTTGTTTAAAATATTGTCAGATCACTATTTATTTCTATACACATTCAATTTGCTTGTGATTAGAACTATTTGAAAAGGTAAAGTTAAAAATTATCTTACAGTTGTTTTTTGCACTATGCTGTAACTTAACTTCTTGACTTCTTTACATTCAATGTGAGCTACAAATGCAGCTAAGCTGCACAGCATGTGGGCTATCCTGCCAGTATGCTGCATCTTCAGCAGAAGCTTGCATCCCTTCAGTGTGTTGGGAATCATGGAATCATGGAATCATTAAGGTTGGAAAAGACCTCTGGGATCATCTAATCCAACAGCACATCTACCACCGATATTCCCACTTAACTATGTTCCTCAGTACCACATCTACATATTCTTTGAACACAAGAAAGGGAGGCAAGACAGTGGAAAGTTACTGGTCTCAGATATTTATTCTGAACCTGTTCTGAAACTCAGAATACCTGAGCAAATTGAGAAATTATTACATTGTCAGTGTTTGACAGGCAATTGCTGTCCTAAGAGTACAGTTTTGCTGGCAGCTAACAGAACATA